CAGAGTGGCCTCGTCCGGCCGCGGGGCCTGGGTGCGTCAGCCAGTCCAGGCCCCTTGTCCTCTCCGCAGGGTGTGGGGGAGTCCCACCTCGAAATGCCGCCTGCCTCCGTGGGGGCGACACGTGCCAACCCGCCCCAGCTCCCAGAGCCGCGCTGTTCCTGCCGCCCGTCGGGTTTGCTCCGCAGCGCCCCGGAGCCGGGCCTGTCCGACCGGGAGCTAGGGAGGTTCGGGGAGTAGGGGGTGGCACCGTGCAGCCGGGCACGGGAAGGTCCTACGAGCGTTTTATCCTGCTGAGGAGGAAAGCGAGATGGAGCCGGGGCCCGTGTCTCGGGTCACGAGGCGCTGGGCTGGATGTCGCCCTCTGGGTGATACGGGCATCGCGACCCCAACAGGAAGGGCGAGAAGAGACCTGGAGCGAGGGTGGGTCTCCAGGAGCCACCGAGACCCTTGTGGCTTTCCCTGCTGCAGACCGCGCGCTCCGTCTGGGCACCCTCCAGCAGGGCCGGGGGGAATGACTAGATCAGGGACAGCAAATGGCACCACAGGGGCTTCCAGATCTGGCGGCAGCAGGTGGGGGAACGCCAGCGCCACTCGCTGCCCTGCCAGACCGCCGCTGAGAACTGGGAACATGGTGGGGAAGGGGAGGGCGGCGTTCACCCCTGGGTGCTGGCGCAGCAGCTCTGGGACCCTCAGCGAGACCCCTGCGTGCCAGATCCCCAGGGGTGTCTGGCCAGAGAGAAGCCCCATGGGCCAACGCCCCACCTCGGCAGGCCACGTCCAGCCCCCCTGAACCTCTCGATCTTCCATCACTCACGTCTCTGCTTGCTCTCGTCTCCCCCAGCCGGCGGCACTGCCTGCGGGTGCTGGACATGACGGGCCTGCAGGACGACGGCGCCGACCAGGGCTCCGAGAGCATGAGCCTGTGGTCGCGGACGGTGACGCTAGCCAAGGCTTGCATTGACGTGTCCAAGCAGCAGAGCAAGTGCACCCAGCGCACCTCCAAGCGGAGGAAGGGCCACTACAGCAGCCTGGCAGCGCTGCCCCCGCCACGCCTCGTCTCCGTGGAAGTCCGCGTGGACCTCTTCGTCAACAGCACCTCGTACGGGGTCCTCAAGGACGCCTTGCAGGCCAACGCCCACAGCGCCCTGCGGCTTCAGTGCCGGGACTTCCGGGCCGAGGAGGAGTCCATCGCCAGCACCGTGGGGCTCCTGGAGTTCCTGGACCCGGCCGGCGTCAGACAGGTGGACCTGCGCTTCAACAACCTGGGGCTGTCGGGGCTGCGCGTGGTGCTGCCTCACATGGCCAAGTTCACCAACCTGGTGAGCCTCAAGCTGCCCTACAGCAACATCGATGTGCGGCGGCTCTCGGCCGGCATGGAGGGCAGCCTCCACTACTTCGCCACCCAGCTCGGCCGCCTCTCTTGCCTCAAGGAGCTCAACCTGGGCTCCTCCCGCCTCTCGGGGAGGCTGAGACAGCTGCTGGGGTAAGTCGCTGGCCAGGCGGAGGGGGCCGCGTGCTGTCACACATGGCAGCCTCAGGGCATACCGGGACCCACAGCCTCTTTGCACCCGAAAGCTTGGCCAGGTCCCGGCAGGGCTGTGCTGTTCTCCTGGCCACAGCCAGAATGTTCCTCACCTCAATCAGGTGCTTAAACATGGGTCCTTGCTTGGCCCCTGAGCTGTTTGTAGGTGGTTTTGCCTAATGGTCAGGCCCCTGGGTGGGATGGCTGGGGTCCAGGGGCTGGGCCAGCGTTCAGGAGCCAAATGACCATGTCTGGAGGGGAAGTCGGGGTTGGAGTCTGCAGCTGAGTGGAGTGGGATCGGAGGCCAGGTTTCCTCCGCTGTAGGGAGTGGAGTCATGCTCTCAGGATCAGGGAAGTGGATGCACAGGGGACCCCTGAGCTGAAATCCAGGAGCAAGCAGGGATCAGGAGACTTGTCACAGCAGGCTGGGGCAGGGCTGATGGGGTAAGTGGCGAGCCTGAGCTCCCAGCAGCTGCTGACAGAACTGCTGCAGGGCTTGTCACCTAGAGACCAGGGCAGCTGTGGCAGCTAGGCACTTAGCCCCAGGTGGGCTGGGGTCTCCGACACATGGGTTGTCCTGCCTGGTTGGCCTTGTACCCTGCAGTC